TTCAAATTTTATTCCTGACGAAAGATTTAATTTGACTTTAAAAAACTTCCAACTGCCGTTACATCTGTATTCTGGGTTTCGAAACTACGAGCTGTATATTTTCCGTGTACCGAAAGTCATACATTTATATACGGTATTAACAAGGGACAATATGGGGTTCATATAATTTTACAATGAATTTGAACCATATTGCAAACATTAAAAGCAAAACTTATAAATGCGGAGGCACGATGTTTTATGAACGGGCATTTAGCGGTCCTAAAAAATCTCATAATTAGGAAGTTTTTTTATAACTTGTATTTTCGAAACTCGGGATACAAATGTAATGGCAGAACAGGTTCAAAATCATTCAGGAATTGGAAAAGTTGCTTAAAATCGGATGCTACCCTTTTTTTCAAGTAATAAATTTTGAATATGACCAAATTTTCTATCAAATGAGTAAAAGAATGAATATTGTCATGGATGTTCTCCATAAAATATATTTGAATTTATAAGGGCATTGCAAATTAATGCTAAAAATTCGTGCTACTTAAACAGTAATTTTTGCAGAGTGCACTTCTTGCAGACGACCGAAGAGAAGTTCGTTCAAAAGCCGGCATCCGAATTAAGTGAATTATCATGGTATTATGCTGCACGGTGATTAATATTTCAACGCTACTTAAGTAGTCTTTTCGAGTCGAAAACGCATTTCAGAATTTCGGTTAACCTTTCCCTTGTTAGCAAATCCCCTTTGCTTGACAGGTTGAGCGTACTTGCCGATGTTGTCTGCCGTGTGCTGTGCAGCTGGGTGAGATCAGGTATGGCGACTTGAGCGAAACTTCTTTTATAATTAGAGCAGACTTGCGCTGTATCTACTGCACTTTCTCCTCCCCAGTTTCCCACCAGGACCCCGTGTCAGGACAGACTCAAGACGACCGAAGGCGGGAGAGGGCGCAAATGTCTGGCGCGACGAAAGCCCGCATCTAGGCGTACCACCAGACCCTTTGGTCCAGAACGCACACTGACCAGGATTTTGCACAACACGCAGAGAGGTTGACAAATCGAATCTCATCTGGCGTGGCGTGGACATGCAGCTAGACCTTCCGTTACACTCCAATGTTGTCATTTTTCATGGATATGCATTCCCGGTAACGCCTGCCGAGCCCTGCTTTAGCCTGTGTTGGGTCAGCGCATCTAACGCGTGACCCTATTTGGGGACAAAGAGTTATTTAGTACAGTAAAACATGCATATGGCATGAATGTAATTTTCTGGCCTGATACCGTCCACTCATTTAAAATGTCCCACCGCTGGAACCTCTTTTGCCACCGTTCTTGCGGATCTCGTTAAATTCTAACATGTCTATTCAATACGAAAAGACTTTTGGTGAGATGTGGTTATGCAACCCCACCTGCTGGGCATGATACTGTTGGAGTTGGGGTTAGGGTTAGGGGTTGGGGCAACTATATCTCAACCACTCAAAGTATAACCGCGCACATCCAATAGCTTTTCTTTTGCATACAACTACGTCGCCTGTGCGTTCCCCAGCTCCACCTATAAAAACCCCTATTACCACCGGTCCCGTATTTGAGGTGACTGAGGCTTCTTATCCCCCGCCAACGACTGCCACCGCATTGGCATTTCAGCTCTGCCAGCTTGTAACGAAGGAATTAGTTGTTCGTCTCCTCTCGTCCCACTTCATTCAGTTCATCTACAGTGAGAGACCGATCTCATGAAATGTTGGTTGAAATTCTGAAATGCGTTTTCGATTAGGAAGGATTACTTGGTTACGGTTGTAATACTGATTGTCTTACGGTATACTCTTATAACATTTCGGACTTGGCAGGATGTCCGCTTTTAAATGCACTTCTTTTCAATCTCCTGTAGAAAGCGTAGTCGGTAACAAATATGACTACTTAAGTAGCATGCATTTTTCCCATTGATTTTGGATGGTCTTGGAAATACAAATATATTTACTAGAAGCCATAAATAAAATTATGTTTTCTTTTTGTCAGTCAATAGAGAATCACGTGTTCTTAATATTTTATACTAAAGGAAGGAGTATAATTAGGCTTTAAAAAAGTTTCTAATTATGAGACTTTTTAAGACCGCGAAATGCCCATTTACATAGCATTGTACCTGGACGTTTACCACTGCTCCTCATGTAAAGTACAACATGGTCCGCATTCATTGCAAAATTTTATGGACTCTGTATAATATCTCTTTAATGACAGAAAAATATGTGATTTTCTTTACGCGGAATGCATACACCTTGTAGAGTCTCATAACTAAGCGCTAATGCAACGAATGATCAGGCTCCAAATTATTCGGCAATTAGAAAACTTTTTTAAAACCTAATTATACTCCTTTCTTAAGTATAAAATACAAAGAAGACGTGATTTTCTATTGGTTGACTAAAAGAAAGCATATTCTTGTTTGTGGTTTCTACGAAATATATTTGAATTTCCAAGACCATCGAAAATCAATGGTAAAAATGCATGCTACTTAAGTAGTCATTTTGTTACCAAGTACGCTTTCTACAGGAGATTGAAAAGAAGTGCATTTAAAAGCCGACATCCTGCCAAGTCCGAAATGTTATACGAGTATACCGTAAGATAATCAGCATTACAACAGCGACCAAGTAAACCTTCCTAATGAAAAACGCATTTCAGAATTTCAGCCAACATTTCATGAGATCGGTCACTCACTGTAGGTATAGTGAGGAGGTTTCTGAACATATGGCTTTGGAGCCCAAAGAAAAGTGACTCTAGGTTGCCAACTGAGGCAGTAAGCATGGTAAATGAAAGGTTAACATCCCTGAATGCCTACCTGCCGCAACAATTTTCACAGCGGGCCAGGTCTCTTAGTGATATAGACACATGGAAGGGAGCAGAACCGCGTCGATTCCTGCTTTACACAGATATAATGGTCCAGTGAGATTTGGGGGCATTTTTGTTATTATTTGCAACAACACGTTGTCTGGTCCGCCCGCAGTCCATCAGACAGTGGGTTCCCTATTGTAGACATCGGTTGCGTATGTTTGCTGAGAAGTTTTCAGTAAGATGTGGTTACGTTGCTGCACCTGATGGGCACGATACTGCTGACTTACTTAATTATTTTGACTTAGTGTGATTACGTTGGCATGGTGTTGCTGTCCGTTGGGGTCTGCGTTCTGCCGGCGGCCTTGTTTCTTTGCTGTCGTGTCCGCCTTTTTCGACCCAATGCCGGTGTCGTCTCCTTCTAAATGTTGCGTTTCAGGGCTAGGGTTTAGGGCCGCGGTTACGGATTAGGGTTTAGGGGTATGGGCTAGGGTTAGTGGCTGGAGGATATGGTTAGGGGTTAGAGTTAGGGGCTATGGTTAGGTGGTTACGTTTAGTGGTTAGGGTTATGGGGTTATATTTAAGGACTACAGTTAGGGCTAGGGCAACCATTTCTTCAAGTGCAACCGCGCATTCCCAAATAGCTTTCCTTATGCGCACGACTACTTGATCTCGTCGTCTGTGCGTTCCTCACCTCTAAAAACCCCCTATTACCACCGGTTCCGTATTGCGGGTGGCTGGGGTTTGTTTACCTCATGTTTGGCTACATATCCAATCTGATCTACCTTCCAAAAGGGGTTTTGACGTCAGTTATCGGGCAGCATAATCCCAACGTACTTCAGTCACGCCGAAGAACTGGCTTTTAACTTCATAAACCACATTCAGTAAAAGGTGGCCACTTATTTGGAGTGAATTTTTTGCACTTATTTTGATGCCCTTATAGATTAAAATATAGCTTATGGAAGGATTGTACAAAAATGCTCTTATTGCACTCATTTAGAGACAAATTGCGTCTTCTTAAAATTTTATACTTGGGGGAAGAGTATCTCCCGGTTTTAAAAATGTTGCAAATATAATATATTTTAAGACCGGGAAATGTCCGATCATTCGGCATCACATCAGGACGTTTAGTATTGCTGCTTATAAAGTGGACAAAATGGCCCACATTCACTGGAAAATTTCGTCAGCCCTGCATTGTATCTTTCAGTAGCATATAAAATTATGTGAGTATCCATATGCAGAAAGTATACAGTCTGCAGTTTGAAAAACCGGAACGCTAGTGTAACGGCGGGTCGGGTTCAAGATTATTTAGGAATTCATATTGACCCAACTGTGAAAAACTCGGCGCCCCGGTGAGATTCGAACCCACGCAGTAACGAGGAGGCTTTAGTACAGCCAACGCTCTAACCACTTGAGCTACGAGGCCCCGTCGAACGACTCGAGCTTAATCGCATTTAGGAATTGTAAAGGCCTCTTTCTAACCCAAACGATACTATTCGTTCAAGCCTAATATCTGAAGAAGACATAATTCGCCAGCAAATGCATACAAAGAAGGATATTTTTATGCACGTTTGCTATAAAATATATTTGTATTTATTGGGGCATCTGAAATTCATGCGAAAAGCCCACAATAATTAAGTAGCTATTTTTACAGAATGTAGTTTTTTACATGCGGCTGGAAGCACGTCCGCTTAAAGGCTGGGATTCTGACCTGACTGAAATGCCTTGTAAGTATGCTGTACGAAAATTAATATTACAGCTCTATGTAAGAAGTATTATCGAATTTAATGCACATATCAGAACCTCCGTTAACTTGTCCTAAAATTGCACGTCTACCGTAAATGACTTTCGGCCAGAATATTGGGAATGGGGTATACATATTCATATCCGAGCAAACCCTGCGTGTATACCGATCTGTGCCAACAACAATACCCCTATTAGATGAAACACTCGTGTTGCCTTTTATTTTGGAAGCCGGCAGTGATGTTTTTTCACTCCAAAACTGTCCGATCTGTTGACCCTTAGATGCATTGTGTCCATCTGAAGAATTGCTTACCGGTGGCATTCGAGCGACTCCTTCGGCTTTTTTTAAATAGAGGCTGGAATTTAAAGTTTCCCACAACATGAGCCCTATTCAACTGTCTCGCGATTAAAAATCCGGTTTTTAGTCTTTAAAGATGGGCCATTTTGTACTTTTCAGGCAGTTATGTCCACCAGGCTGATGTGCTTGCGTCAGTTGACCAGCCCTTCGTAAGTTCGCGAGGAGTGATGATAGTGATGATGATGCTGGCGGCGGCGGCGGCGGCGGTGGTGGCGCGGACGGATGGAACGAGAGTGGGGGTGTGCACGGTGGATGTGTTGGATGTAGTGGGTGTGTCGGGAGTGCGGTCAAGGCCGCTCTCGGGGATGCGAATGTGGCCGAAAAGGCCCATGCGTTGCACGCGGCGTGATGGCCGACATTCGAGTCGTTAATTGCTTCAATCTCATCACGTACGTTGGATGTTGGTGTGATGATTGCTCGACCATCTAACGCACCGAACCTGGTGTTGGGAAAAGTGTTCATCTGTGCGCTCCCCGCGTGGCTAATTACTCCGCCTAGGCGAAGTCTACGCACCGACTATGGAAAGGGAAGTTCATTGCACTTGTTAGTGGAATGGGGGCCAGTAAACCATGACTAAGGCAGCTCCCAGCTCACGCGGTTGTCACCTCTTGCGAGAATTTCGGCCTCATCGAATTTGAATGTGTGGCCGGATCTCGTCGAATGAGCCGCAACTTGAGAGCTGGAGTCATTTCTGTGCACCGCTGCCGCGTGTTCGGCCATTCTCGTTCGGAGCTGTCTTCCGGTTTCCCCGACGTAGTTGTTTTGTCCGCAATTGCACCAGATCCGATAAACGACTCCAGACATTTCTAGCTGTGGCAGCGGGCCTTTCGGTTTCATTACCTGACGTCGGATGGTTGCTTCCGGTCAGGTGTCAGGCGTCAGTTAATGAAACCAAAAGACCCGCTGCCACGGCGAGAAATGTCTGGAGTCGTTTATCCGATCTGGTTCAGTTGCGGACAAAGCAACTACGTCGTGTCTCCTTCTTCAAGAAGGATCATTGTTATGTTCCCAAGTTCGGCCTGTCCAACAAGCCAACTGTGCGCTACTTGCACTGATCCAGACACTGCATCTGCGACATCCCTCAGGTTTTTGTTGGACTGAGGGGTCCCACGTGGTTATGTAGCCCCACCAGAAGTAAACCAACTCCAGTCACCTGTAATAGGGGAACGGTGGTAATAGAGGTTTTTACAGGTGGGGCCGGGGAATGCACAGGCGACGAGGTCAAGTAATGGTATGCAAAACAAAAGCTATTGGATATGCGCGGTTGTACTTTGGGCGGTTGAGAAATATTTGTCTTAACCCCAACCCCTAACCATAACTCGGGCGTTCCACACTTCGGGGTTGGGTATGACTGGCTGACAACGGCCAATGAGCCAGAAGTGGCCATTCCAGTCTCCCTTGTCTTTGTCGGTAATAACATACTGTTGAGATCTAGGTGTTGAAAATTCCAGCACACCACTTGGATCTTCATGAATAGACCCAGTTACGAAAACTTGGATTAGTAGACCATTTTCAATCTGACTGACGGCAGAACCATCGTTGTGATACCAGGTCAGCGGATATTCACGCGATGCCGGAGACACTTGATGAGAACAGTCCGTTCTCATCAGCAAAACTGAACACTCAGTCTGGTTGTTGATCAGAAGCGATAAGACCGGAGCTGCCACTTGAGATGTTGATTACTCGAGGTCCTGAGTCTGAATTTTATGGCTCAGATAGACGGAAATTCCTGGCCCTATTACCGATTTTGACTACTCTCTGTCGGGCTTTGTATACCAGGATCAATGAAGGGTTCCACGCTCCAGCGTCAACCAACAAGGACCCTACTTACAACTCATTACTACATCCCGCATACTACTCGCCCACGCCGGTGAATCAGAACTGCAAAACCAGTCAGTTCCTTCCGGCACCGTAACATGGCTAGCATAGCAGTTTTCAGCCTTTTCGAGAACCCGGAATGCAGGCTAGTCCACCCCAACTGGACGAATTGTTTCTTCAAAGTGTATGGTATGTAACCCCATCCAAAATCGTAGCTAACTATAACCCTAACGCCAACCACGCCCATGGCTGTAATGGGTAACCCTAACCCTTAATCCATAAGCATTTAGGGAAAACTTGAACTCAAATACCTTAACACTAGGCCCTAAGTCTCTAACCCAAACCCTAGCCCAAACTCCTAACCCTAATTTTAAACCCCAACTGCAAATCCAGACTATAACCCAAGCGTGACAACCTCGGCCCTAGGAATAATCCAACACCTAATACTAACGCTCACTCCAACCGTATCCCTAACCCCAACCTTCAACCCGACCCGGGCAACTTTGACGTCGATAACGCTAGTGAAGATTAAAATCCGCGTACTGCATGATCCCTTTGCCTACCTTTCGTCAGGCAATCTGTTATGAACCACAGAATAGCATTATCCACAAAGACAAGGGAGCCTGAAAAGGCCGTCACCAGTCAGCCACACCTAACCCCGCGGTGTGAAAACCCTGGGACTCGATTCCGCAGCTTGTTGGTTAGAAGTTCAACGTACTGAGCCACGGGTTTGTTGTACTGTCGGTTGCGACCTGGTATATGCAATGGTAGAGGGGTGCTCAGCGATCTCGCTACGGAACTCACTTGTCCCGTTGTGCCTAGTGGTCACACTGCACCTACCTAAATAAGATGAGAAGGTAGATTTCTGGTAAACCACCCAAGGGGCCACATACCCTATCCTTGCCCTCTAGTTATTTAGTTCAATACTCTAGGCACAAGGCAGCAATGGCGAACGAACTTGTGTGCTGGCGATTAACACTCACGCATTACGAAGCCGTTACTAGGTCACTGCTTGTCCTGACTGCTTATTAGTCAGATCCTGGGGCCTTCTTATGTCACAGATAACATTCGATGAGGGCCGATCCCCTAGCCGTCACCCATGGACGCACCAGGTGACCAACAGGCAGTCTATTGGGCGGGCCGTCTCTCAGAACGCAAGTGTATGCTTTATTCGGATTCCAACTCAACCTCCAGTGCAGACTACAGTAGATGTGCTAACTCATGAAATGTCAACCAAAATTTCGAAATGCGTTCTCGTTTCGAAAAGATAAATTAAGTAGTGTTGTAAAACTAATCATGATGCAGCATAAATCTATAATGATCCAGTTACCTCGGGGTGTCGGCTTTCGAAAGAACTTATTTTTGACTGCATGCAAGATCTATAATCTGCAAAAATGAATACTTAAGTCGTATGCAATTTTCTCATTGATTTCCGATGCCCTTGAAAATTCAATTATATTTCATGGAAAACATGTATAAAAATATTCATTCTTTTACTTATTCAGTAGAAAATCACGTCTTCTTCCAATTTCATACTCAAACGAAGAGTATAATTCGGCTTTAAAAAAGTTTCTAATTGTGAGATTTTTTAATACCGTGAAATGAACCTTCATGAAACGTCATGTATCTGCATTTACGAATGTGGCTCGTAAATTTAACAATATTGCCCAAATCCACTGCTTAATTTTATGAACCTCATATGGTCTCCTCTTAATACCGTAGAGAAATGCATGGTTTTCCGTACACGGAAAATATACAGCTTGTAGTTTTGAAACCCTGAATGCAAGTGTAACAGCAGGTCGGGTTCAAAATTATTCGGGAATTAGAAAAGTTTTTTAAAGCCGAATTATACTCTTCGTTTGAGTATGAAATTGGAAGAAGACGTGATTTTCTACCGAATAAGTAAAAGATTGAATATTTTTGTGCATGTTTTCCATGAAATATAATAGAATTTTCAAGGCATCGGAAATCAATGAGAAAATTGCATACGGCTTAAG